GTTTCCTTTACTGTTCTCCCAACTCTACCAACTATTTAGATCTCTTTGAACTTTCCCACTTCTTGCCATGAGTCGTTGCTATCCACACACCCCAACACCGAGATCCTCTACCTAGGAGATCTCAATGTACATCACAGAGAGTGGCTTGGGTCTGCAAGTGGAGCTGAGGCACTCACTTTTTTCTTACTTAATGATCTGGAACAAATAATTGAACACCCTACACATGTTCCAGACCGACACGATCAACTTGCTAACATTCTTGATCTATGTTTTACCTCTAACCTCTCACACTATTCATAGTCAATTTCTGCCCCCTTTGGGTCTTCTGATCACAATCTTATTTCTATTAAATCAAACTGGGCACGACCACCTCCCCCACCCCCTCTAAACGCCAACTATGGAACTATCGGAGGGAAAACGGGCAATCCTTGCGGGAATTCTTCTACGACTTTCCTTGGAATGAATGTTGCTTTTCCACTCGGTATGTGCTGACAGCATTGCTGGAGTTATATAGGGTAGTACGAGTGCATTTATCCCATCTTATACCAAAACTTTCACTTTGCAATCAAGGTTTGATCGTTCCTCTTCTCTTGTAGGTAGGAAGAGAGATTGGGCGTATCAAGCTATGAAACTATCTCCTCCTATTACCCACTCCTCTTTCATTACTTCCAGGAATCGTTGTAGGGTTATTTTTCTTAGGGCCAAGCAGTATTTTATAAAAAATAAAGACCGCTGACCTGACTAACTCTTCTTCTTGTAAATCCTTCTGGTCCTTAATCAAAAACATCTGAAACAACTTCCGCACTCCCTCTTTTCCTCCTCTCTTCCGACCTGATAACTCTATAGCTAACTCTCCTCCTGATAAAGCCAGTCTCTTTGGCACCTTATTCCCCTCTAACTCCACTTTAGACGATTCCAACTTAATCCCCCTACTCCTGCTGCTCCTACTGAACCTATGCACTTTCCTATTATCTCCACTCGTATTGTTGCTGGTGTGTTATCCAGGTTGGATGTGAGTAAGGCGCATGGGCCGGACGAAATACCCCCTCGTGTTCTGAGGGAGTGTGCTGAAATTCTAGCCCCTGTGCTTGCTTGCTTCTTTCGCCTTTGCCTCAAAACCCAAACTTTTCCTTCTTCATGGAAGCATGCCTCGGTTCAGCCCACCCAAAAAAGGGTGACCATTCCAATCCCTCTAACTATCGCCCTAACTTCATCCCTCTCTAAGATTTTCAAAACTATCTTAAACTCTTATTTTCTCCGTCACTTTGAACATCTTTCTCTTTTATCGAATCACCAGTATGGCTTTCGCCAGGCGAGATCTACTGGTGATCTGCTCTCTTACTGCACCCATCTTTGGTCATCTTCTCTTAGGGATTATGGGGAAACTTTCGCGGTGGCCCTCGACATCTCCAAAGTACATGACAGAATATGGCACAAGTCTTTGCTTTCTAATCTTCCCTCTTATGGTTTCTCTCCCCCACTTTGTTCTCAAATTTCTAGCTTCCTTGAGAACCGATTTATGGCAGTTGTTGTCGAGGGATCGCTCTCTCGCTCTTTCTCTTCCAATAGTGGTGTCCCACAGGGTTCTGTTCTTTCACAAACTTTCTTCCTTCTTTTTATCAATGATTTACTTCGCACTACGGCTAATTCTATCCATTCCCCTTCCCCCTAATTCTCAAACTAGATCTATTTCTAGAGCTGATATCATTTCATCTATCAATGCATATCTGTGCAGCATCTCCGGATGAGGAGGAAGAAACTTGGTTAAATTCAATGGTAATAAAACACAGTATTTACCAATTACACTTTCCAAATTAGATGATCTCCCACCAATCACATTTCAGGATGCAAACATTCTGCCAAATTCTAAAATAGATATGCTAGGCCTCACCATTTCCTCTAATATGTCACGGAAGCCACACATCCACAACGTTGCTAAAGCTGCCTCCGGAAAGCTGGGAATTGTACAGATGCCGTAGCTGCTTCACTCCTGAGCAGTTGCTTCAAGTTAATAAGGGATTCATTCGTCCTAACTTGGATTACTGCTCTCATATCTGAGGTGGCTCTTCTTCTGCCCAACTGTTAGATAGGGTAGAATCAAAGGCATTTCGTCTTATTAACTCTTCTCTTTTAGTTGATAATCTCTCTTCCCTTTCTCTTCGCCGCAATGTTTCTTCACTCTCTCTCTTTTGGCTCCCGGACAGATGGCCGAAGGACATTTGGCCGACGGTTTAACCGACGGACATTTGACCGAACGGACATCGAGCCGACAGACATTTGGCCGAACGGACAATAGACCGAACAGACAAATGGCCGAACGGACAATAGACCGAACGGACAAATGGCTGAACGGACATTTGGCCGAATGGACAACAACAATAAAAATATCGGCTTACCTTTACAACCTCTGAAGAGCGACTGCATCCGAGTCCAGGCAAGCAGGGCTAACGTTTGGTTGGTTTGGGGCGTGGCTAAGAACTTCACCTGACTTAACATGACTAGTTACGTCGCCCTTTGTTTTGTGTTTGTGGTGTTGGTGTGTGGATTAGCGGATGTCATGTTTTTGACCTGACCTCATGTTTTGTAAGGTCACCCTGTGTACATAAACCTCTCTCAGTCCTTGTAATTCACTAGTTAAATTGAAATTGGGGAAAATAATACTGATTGTTTCCGAATAATGCTGATTATTTCCGACGTCTACCAGATATTAAGCACAAGACTCAAGCAATTTTTATAAAGCAATTACATTACAATTAATATCTTTTATCCTTAAGTAAATGTGCAAAAAATACATTGCAAAGAAGAAAGAAAAAAAATTAAAAAGGCCATATGTCCATTCGGCCAAATGTCCGTTCGGCCATTTGTTCGTTCGGTCTATTGTCCGTTCGGCCATTTGTCCGTTCGGTCTATTGTCCGTTCGGTCAAATGTCCGTCGGTGAAACGTCCGTTGGCCAAATGTCCTTCGGCCAACTGTCCGGCCACGTCTCTTTTACAGGTACTTTAACGGGCAATGTTCAGTGGATTTGGCATCGTGTGTACCGCTTTGTCCTCGTAACATTTGTCTTGCCCGCGGTGTCCACCGTTTCTCTGTGGATGCCGGTCACAGTAGAATAACCCGTTATAGTATATCCTCCTTTCTTCACACAGCTAAACTGTGGAATGCTCTGCCTTCTTCTGTGTTTCCATACTCATACAATCTGTCTCACTTCAAAAAGTTGTCTTTCCGGCATCTTCATAGTGTAGAGTCTGTAGACTAATATAATCTTTTTCTTTTATATTTTTGATATCTTTTTACTCCTATTTTTTCGCTCCCTAGGCCCCGTTGTGGGTTGATGACCTGTGCCCGGATGGGCACAACCGATAACTTAAACATGATACCCGAGGTGCCGACTATCTACAACACTGTAGATAGTCGGCACCTACAGAGATAGTGAAGAAAATAGATTAAGCGAGTTAGTAGTGACTAGTAACGATGATAACAAACAAATAGGCAAACTAAAACCTAAAAAGTCACAAAGTCCCTATAAAATATTTTCCAGAGTATTAAAAGATTGTAAGAAAGAACTTAGTTTCCCATTAGCAACTATGCTTAACAAATCTTTAAAATCGGGTGTAGTCCAGAATCCTAGAGGATAGTGAATGTGATACCGATTTTCAAAAACGGAGCAGATAACTTTCCTCTAACAACAGTCAAATCAGTCTAACATCAATTGTCGAAAAATAACTGGAAGCAATAGTTTCAAACTCAATTAGAAATCTCCTCGAGAAACACATTTTGTTTAGTGATTCTCAGCATGTCTTCATCAGTGGGCGATCATATCTGTCAAATCCTTTACATTATTTTCATCTGTTTTCGAATCAGTAAATTGTGATGTGATTTATCTAGACTTTAGTGAAGACTTTGGCAGGCTTCCCCACGAAAGACTAATACGTAAAATGGAGGCTCGTGGAATTGGAGGAGATATTCTAAATTGGATTAAGACATGGATAAAGTACAGGAAGCAGAGAATCAGTATTAATGGCACTAAATCCGATTGGAGTAACATCACTAGTGGAGTACCCCAAGGCTCAGTACATGGAACATGATTATTTATTATATGCATAAACGACATACAATAGATGTAGGTATAGACAGCAACATAAGTAAATTTGCTGACGACACTAAGATATGACGTGTAATTAAATCTGACGAGGACTCCGAATAATTCGAAGAGACTTTTCTTATGGTCTGAAGGTAGCAGATGAAATTTAATGTGGAAAAATTTAAAGTACTTAGCCTTGGAAATGTAAATAGGGAAATCAGCCATCGGATGAACAACGTTGATACAGAAAAATCCAACTATGAAAAATATTGAGGGGTAATGATAAGCTGGAACCCTAAACCAAGGCAGCAATGCATACTCGTATATGCTTGAAATAAGGTTAATAATATACTTGGTTTCATATCAAGGAGTGTTAGTTACAAGGCTAGCGAAGTTATCCTAAAATACGAGTATATCTCGCATACGTGAGACTCACTTGGAATATGTGGTTCTGGTCACCGTTCTACAGAGTGAATATCGAATCCCTAGTGAGGAGGATGGCAAGGTAAATCCCAGGTATTATGAACCTTGAGTATGATAACATTAAAGCATCTGAATTTGCACGCTCTTGGGAGACGTAGAATGAGGGTGCCAATTAAGATTTAGGCGTGAGATAGGAAAAAAACTCTTTTTGAAATAAAGTTGTGAATGAGTGGAACAAATTACCGAACACCATCATAAAAGCAAGCTCACTGGGAAGCTTCAAATAAACGTTGGAGAGATTATATGAGCGATATGGGTTAGGTGTAATCATACTAGGTAGCCCCGTTTACATCTAACCAATTGTGACCTTAGTCTGAATAAATAGACAGCTACATGAACATTTTCTATGAACCAATCAGCCATTTTTATGGAAGAGAGGCGTAGCTTATGGACCAGGTTAGCATGGAAATACTATTGCTTAGTTGCTTGATTCACCTTTTTCTCTCAATGGCCCGAAAACTTCAGGTCGTTGTCAACATACACACCCAGGTCCTTTTCACATTTGGTCTCTGTTAATACTGTTTCTTCGTCACGTTGGAACATGTGATACGCCTCCTAACTGTTGGTACGACCTAGGTGCATCCTCTTACATTTCGTGATATTGAATCTTAACCATCATTTCTTAGACCACCCTAGTAGCTGACAGAGATTTTTCTGTAACTCTTCACAGTCCGTCTGGTTCTTAATTTCCCTGAATAACTTGGCATCTTCTGCAAACATGTGTATGGAAGACTGTATAGCTTCTGGCATGTCATTTATGAAACAAACAAACAACAATGGGCCCAATACACTGCCCTGTGGTATCCCGTTTGCCAAGGGTCTGCATGACAATTTTGTATCATTAATCACCACACTAGGACATTCTAGGACACTTCCCCGAATTCCGTACTCTTCCAGTTTAATTATCATGCATTTAAGGGGGTACGCTGTCGTTATTGCCACCCTGTTGGCAAGTACTAGCTTCAGAATTTACCACCACCACCATCACACTGCACCTCACTGACCACACTACTGCACCAACTGGACTCTGTTGGCCGTCTGTATTATTCATATCCTGTTGATTCCAATGTCAGGACAGGAGGAACGATGCGGGAGAGAAACAGACAAACAAACGAGAACCTTATCCTTGATTTACCGATTACATTTCTCGGTCATTTGGGTTTCTAAAGTCACCATCCTATTTTACAATATGTACCAACATATCTTTATCCTAAAGCTCGTCAACAGCCTCATCCTACATACCTTGACTTGAAACACAGCAGGGTTTTGTACCCTACATGAAACCCTGAACATCTCCATCCTGACACTATGCAACCGCTTCCTCCGCTGACTCGCGTTTCACACACATTACCGCCTCTCTCCCTCATCCACACTCACACACCACTGCGCCTCTCCCTCACCCACACACACCACCGTCTATCCCTCACCCACACACACCACTGTCTCTCCCACACCTACACACGTTACCTCCCTCACCTGCATACGCCACTGCCTCTCTCTCCCTCACCCACACACACCACTGTCTCTTTCTCTCCCACACTCACACACACACACACACACACACACACACACACACACACACACACACACACACACACACACACACACACACACACACATACACACACACACACCATCGCCTCTCCCACCCACACTACACAGCAGTGTATATCACTGCTGTGTAGTGTGGGTAACCTACCCATAAGAAATGTGGTTTGCTCATATTTTCTTTTATCCTCTTCGCCACATTTCAGTTTACATGGTATTGGGGTGGTCGGTCATTTCTCTCTTACACATCGGTAGCGAGTCAAGACATACCCCAGGCAAGAAATAAATAAATAATTAATAATCTCCCCTCACTCTTGCTTCCTCTTTCTCTCCCTCCTCCTCCTCCTTCTCCCCTTCTGCATCCTCCCTTACTCCCCTTTCCCTTCTCTTACCATCCTTACCAAACACCAACTTTTAACCACCTCCTCTACATCCATTCGTGTCCTACGTGAATGCAGTACGCATTCCAAGGTGTACGTATACAGTATATTAGGGGACCACTTTTTCAGGTGCCACTTCTTTTTTTATCGTTGACACACTCACGTAAAATTCTCAATTTCCAGTCCTTTCCGGGACATTTAATTTCACTACAGTAAACATCATAGGGACATAATGCCCCAACCTTTCATTTCACTAGTAACACTAAACCATATTCCCCTGACTATCAAGACAGGGAGTATGTTGCATAAGAGACTCAGGACACAAAAGCCTTGTTCCTTGGTGACTCATAAAGTGAACTTTGGTATTAATAGGTTCGAATTCTAATGGGACCCTATTGGGATCTAATTGAAATGAGCACCAACCCTAACAGGCACCCATGTTAGTAGTTAGGTTAGTTTAGGTAGGGTCTGTTAAGACTAGGGCTTATTTGCCCTGCAGCTATACCTCTTTAACACTCACCTGGAACGAGCAATGGCTCCTGAGACAAAACCGGCGCTCCTACTGGCTGATGAAGGTAAAGTAGGTGCCATGTAGTGCGTAAGGGAGATGGCTAGTACCGGTTCTTCCTGACCAGGTACATTCATGTAGGCACCTCCTCAACTGGCCACCACCCCACTCAGTCAATGATAAGACACCCCTTATCACCATCTTATCACTTACCTGTACATGATTGCCTTGCGACATACATTAACAATGTGAATTATCAAACCTATTTCTTCTTACATAGTAACCATAGATACTGTTTCTTAAACTGCTTATAATGTACTGTTTTACTATTTCTTCTTTTGAAAATTATTTCTAGTGCTTAACAGTTCTGTACCTAACTAATGACTGAATGACAACACCTTTCTTTATCACTATCACAGGGAAGCCGGAATAAGTGAACACCAAGTTAACATCACTAATAAAAGACCATCGAGTTAACACGATTACTATTTGATAAACAATGTCAAGGGTTAGACTTCCTTAGTTACCTCTGTTTGATATTTCAACTGATTAACACTATCATTAGGTTCCACTTTGACTATGACTCATATAAAAAGGAGGATATTGATAAAACATTTAAAACCTGCATGCATATAGTAAGTAATACACCTAATAGACAACAATGGTTCTTCAACTCAATTTATAGGTCTAGTTACAAGTCGGCACTGAGGTAACAGCGGTGAGGCAATGTGACACATAAGCCGCACGGCAACGGCTTGTCACACACACAGCTCACAGCAGATATAGTTGAAACAGTTCACCGCCACATACAGCTCACCACTACACACAGCTCACTGCCACGCACGGCTCGCCGCCACACACGGCTCACCGCCATACACGGCTCCGACACAGGTCACCTGGCCAAAAAGAGCTGTCGAGCCAAAATTATCTTGTCTATCTTATTCTTATGATATAAGAAACAAAATGTTCGCTTCATAACTGTTCAGATCACTATCAAACTAATTACATTAAAACTAAAACAAAAACCTACAGAGTAGGTTGGAGAGTAGCTCCTGGCAAGGCATGTCCCGGCTTTGTGACTAAACATGCCTGGCCAGCCGCACCTCAACTCTGATCCGAACAAGTGAACCATCTCGAGATTCATAAAGCAAAAGATTCAAAGAATATGAAAATATTTATCTCCGAGGTAATTCCATCACAATCAAGTTGACAGCAGTAACATGTGACCACTAAGTTAACCTTAAAGGCGTTATATTACTGAAATGACGTCATTAATACATGATCCTCATATTTTTCGGTCAATAAGATGACACAAGTAAATTCTTATCACCAAAGTGGTACTAGAAATGAACTATTATACTACTGTATCTAATCTGTGGGTGACCATCAACCATCACCTTGAAAAATACTCCACTACAATGGTGATGGTAAGTTATTTATCAGCTGGTGATGGTGAGTTATTTATCAGCTGGTGATGGTGAGTTATTTATCAGCTGGTGATGGTGAGTTATTTATCAGCTGGTGATATTGAGGTATTTATCAGCAGGTGATATTGAGGTATTCATCAGCTGGTGATATTGAGGTATTTATCAGCAGGTGATATTGAGGTATTCATCAACAGGTGATATTGAGGTGTTTATCTGCAGGTGATATTGAGGTATTTATCAGCAGGTGATATTGAGGTGTTTATCAGCAGGTGATATTGGGGTATTTATCAGCAGGTGATATTGAGGTGTTTATCAGCAGGTGATATTGGGGTATTTAGCATGAGGTGATATTGAGGTGTTTATCAGCTGGTGATATTGAGGTGTTTATCAGCAGGTGATATTGAAGTGTTTATCAGCTGGTGATATTGAGGTATTTATCAGCAGGTGATATTGAGGTGTTTATCAGCAGGTGATATTGGGGTATTTATCAGCAGGTGATATTGAGGTGTTTATCAGCAGGTGATATTGGGGTATTTATCAGCAGGTGATATTGAAGTGTTTATCAGCTGGTGATATTGAGGTGTTTATCAGCAGGTGATATTGGGGTATTTAGCATGAGGTGATATTGAGGTGTTTATCAGCTGGTGATATTGAGGTGTTTATCAGCAGGTGATATTGCAGGTGATATTGAGTTGATATTGGGGGCAGGTGATATTGAGGTGTTTATCAGCAGGTGATATTGGGGTATTTAGCATGAGGTGATATTGAGGTGTTTATCAGCTGGTGATATTGAGGTGTTTATCAGCAGGTGATATTGAGGTGTTTATCATCAGGTGATATTGGGGTATTTAGCATGAGGTGATATTGAGGTGTTTATCAGCTGGTGATATTGAGGTGTTTATCAGCTGGTGATATTGAGGTGTTTATCATCAGGTGATATTGGGGTATTTAGCATGAGGTGATATTGAGGTGTTTATCAGCTGGTGATATTGAGGTGTTTATCAGCAGGTGATATTGAAGTGTTTATCAGCTGGTGATATTGGGGTATTTATCAGCAGGTGATATTGAAGTGTTTATCAGCTGGTGATATTGGGGTATTTATCAGCAGGTGATATTGAGGTGTTTATCAGCAGGTGATATTGGGGTATTTAGCATGAGGTGATATTGAGGTGTTTATCAGCTGGTGATATTGAGGTGTTTATCAGCAGGTGATATTGAGGTACTTATCATCAGGTGATATTGAGGTACTTATCATCAGGTGATATTGGGGTATTTAGCATGAGGTGATATTGAGGTGTTTATCAGCTGGTGATATTGAGGTGTTTATCAGCAGGTGATATTGAGGTACTTATCATCAGGTGATATTGGGGTATTTAGCATGAGGTGATATTGAGGTGTTTATCAGCTGGTGATATTGAAGTGTTTATCAGCAAGTGATATTGGGGTATTTTTCATTAGGTGATATTGAGGTGTTTATCAGCAGGTGATATTGAGGTGTTTATCAGCAGGTGATATTGAGGTGTTTATCAGCAGGTGATATTGGGGTATTTTTCATTAGGTGATATTGAGGTGTTTATCAGCAGGTGATATTGAGGTATTTATCAGCAGGTGATATTGAGGTGTTTATCAGCAGGTGATATTGGGGTATTTTTCATTAGGTGATATTGAGGTGTTTATCAGCTGGTGATATTGGGGTATTTTTCATTAGGTGATATTGAGGTGTTTATCAGCTGGTGATATTGAGGTGTTTATCAGCAGGTGATATTGAGGTGTTTATCAGCAGGTGATATTGGGGTATTTTTCATTAGGTGATATTGAGGTGTTTATCAGCAGGTGATATTGAGGTGTTTATCAGCAAGTGATATTGGGGTATTTTTCATTAGGTGATATTGAGGTGTTTATCAGCAGGTGATATTGAGGTATTTATCAGCAGGTGATATTGAGGTGTTTATCAGCAGGTGATATTGGGGTATTTTTCATTAGGTGATATTGAGGTGTTTATCAGCTGGTGATATTGAGGTGTTTATCAGCAGGTGATATTGAGGTACTTATCATCAGGTGATATTGAGGTATTTATCAGCAGGTGATATTGAGGTGTTTATCAGCAGGTGATATTGAGGTACTTATCATCAGGTGATATTGAGGTATTTATCAGCAGGTGA